TAAATATATATATATATTTGTCTATTGTAATTATATATTATATATTTTCGAGTTTATATGTATTTTTCGTATATCTACATGTATTTTTTCTAATTTTATTTGCTATAGAGGTGCATCTCTGATATTCTATGCTAGTACTTATAACATTGTCTTAATATAATATATACACGTTATAGAATGCATGTTTGAGGATATGCAGATTGTCGGTTCGGGACACACGGAATCTCATATTGCAACCGGCGACCTTAATTTTCCGCAGACGAGTCTGCGGTATTTCCCTATTGCTCTAAATTTATCGCTGTAAATTGAATAGTAGAAACCGAAATAGAGTACGAGCGACGGTTGGTCCGAGGCATAGAAGAGGCAATATAATAATTAGCGGATGCGAACGCGAATTTATCATTATTATTATACAGAAAAAATTATCTCACCCTGAACAGATATCTGTGACAAGATTTCAATTGAAGCGATTTTAGTTTTTTTATTTTGGCTGGCTTACCCGTTCTTCGTCAAAGACATTCTGTAATTGTTATCGGGACAGATTGTATATTTAATATAACATCTACGGGACCCGCTTGTGTCTGCGCGGAATGGAGAGAGCCGAATGTGACGAATTCTAAAATTAGGCTGATGGTCCGGCGTGTATTTGTCCCCTCTTTCGAGATGTGCAACAATTTAGCTTAGAAAAGGTCGAGCAAAGACGTCTGGTATGTTTTATCTTTTTTTTTTTCTTTGGACCGATAGATACAAATGCGCTTGACACTAAATTAATAAAAAACTTATTATAAAATTCGTTGCTAATATCTATCATAATAATAACGAAAGACCGTTACAGTCTTTGACACAAATACATTTTGGTAATGACATGAAATATTATTACAACCTACAAAGCAATTGTTGCAAAACTTTATTCTTGTATATAATTTTGCAAAACTAAAATATCCGTCAGCCTAAGTAATGCAATAAATTGACAATTGTCGCCTTATCGAGTTTCTTTCATAATGTCAATATCTTGTTGATTGAAATGTCAAAAGAAATCTCAAGTAATTACAGTAGCAAACGTGTCTGTTAAATTTAGCGCGCCTTTGGAGTGCGTTCGAAAATCCTACTCGTTGAGTGAAGTAGCGTCTGCTTGACCAATAGAAACAAAGAAATCTTTTTATTCTGATTGGTCAATCGGAACGCTACTCCACCCGACAAGTAGATTTTCGAACGCAACCCTAGAATCGCCAGCAGTCGTCACATGACAGCGACAGCGCGTGAGATTTTCTTTCGGCATTTCGGATGCAGAGATTAAAAAGTTGGAGAAAAAACGTCGCGCCGGACTATTTAGCTTTTCCGGAGTGTCGGCTGTAATTTCACAGTACTTTTATATAATTTGTATTGAGTGAAATTTACCATGGCTACAATGAGATATATTTTGGGTAGCACATTTGCGGTCACCTCCTCGATCACGATTCTTATTTTAGGTATGGCTTTATTATATATATGTATTTATATCAAGAATAATTTATGTAGACATGCGATAAACTCGCGAAGAAATGTTGAATTGAAATTAATGAATATTTTGCTGAATTATACAGTGTGTCCACTGTCTGTCTATTCTTATGTCAAACACATTTATATTACTGAATTAATACCGTTCAAGAATCACATAAAGAATTTATTATATATTTTTTATGTTACAGTTTTGTATTATGTATTTACTGGCAAAGGAGAGCAAATTAGCATTGCATGGTACGTATAATCATACATTTATATATCATATCTTGTGATACTGAATTCTTAGTATATGAAGATATTAAAATATTTATTTTTTTATCTAGGTTCTTGTCAAATACTTCTCCATATATGTGGGCTACATTGGGCATAGGTTTGTCAGTAGCTTTGTCTGTAGTAGGCGCAGCATTGTAAGTTTGATAATATATTATAGTTTTAGAATAGCATCAAATTTTATACTTATCATAATATTTATCTTTTCAGAGGTATCCATACGACAGGAGTATCTATTGTTGGTGGAGGTGTAAAAGCACCTAGGATCAAAACAAAGAATTTGATTTCTGTGATATTCTGCGAGGCTGTAGCTATCTATGGTCTGATTACTGCCATTGTTCTGTCTGGAATGCTCGACAAATTCGATGAAAAGGAGATTATGAATAACGAACCGCTTAAGAATCAGAACTGGTTGGCTGGATACTTAATGTTTGGTGCTGGTTTTTCCGTTGGTTTGGTCAATCTTTTCTGTGGCATAGCAGTTGGCATTGTAGGCTCCGGCGCAGCTCTTGCCGATGCGGCAAACTCTGCTCTTTTCGTGAAGATTCTTATAGTTGAGATTTTTGGTTCTGCTATAGGACTTTTTGGCTTAATTGTCGGTATTTATATGGTAAGTTAAAATATATATATATATATACTATGTATTATAATGTTTTTATATTTTTTTTATATAAATTACTTACAAAATATTTTTTTCTTTTTTCTCAGACTTCCAAAGTGAAGATGGGTGACAAGCTATAAATGATAAGAGATCACAATATTCCATTCCATATTTAGTCATCAATAAAAAATTTCGAAAAGAATAATTGCATATTTATGAAATTGTCATGAAATGATAAAAAATTTCTAGATACCAATATATGAATTTGGTATATTATTGCGTATCTATACAATTTCACTTATGCAACTTTCATGATGATCTAATTTAACATTCATCCTGATATCTATAACTATGAATGTTGTGCTTTGTTGTCTATGTTATTAAACATATCTTTCCATTTCTTTTGAAAGAGAAAAACAACTGAGCTTAAGTATATGTTACATAATAGAGATATGAATTTTTATCAATATTAGAAAACAATATAATTTTTTGTCTCACATGTTGAATATGTTATAGCGCTTAGTTTTACACAAGTCAATGTACATATTTTCTTGTTCACATGTGTGAGTAATAGAGTAATATAAAATAACATTTGTAATAATTTATCCTCATATATACATATATATCATATATATAATCACTAGTTAATTATATTAGAAAAATTGTTGGATGGTTATAAAAAGTAGCATCATATTATCAGTTGTGTATAAAAAATATTAAAAATATTTATTCTCAACAATTGTATATAAAAGTTTCTTATCAAAGGTAGCTCATTTTGCTTTGCTTTTTGTCTAATATTTAAAAAATGGAGATATAATATATGTGTCTACCTCTGATATAGGTAACATGATTGTAAACATTTTCTTGTGTAAATGTATAATATATCTATATAATGTGATAATTGTCAATGATTTCAGAAAAAAATATATCTAAATATATCTGGTCACAATATGCTTATGTGCACAGCACATCATGGATGCTCTTGAATGCATGTTCCAATGTTTGTATATATTTATTGGCATTACGACTACCTTCATAACTTGTCACAACTGTGCCCAATCGTTCATCTTGAATCATGTATCTAAACAGTATACAATATATTAATTTCATATTTATTAAATCTCAATATATTCAAAAAGAAATAATATGTTAGTATATAAACAGTTGCGATATTTTCGATATTAATATAATGCAATATGAATAGTTTACCCTATTCCATAGCCATCAGATACTACTGGTCCAAATCCACCAACTAGTACAACTGGACTCGATAAAGTGGATGTAGACAATATATTATAATTTAAAGCGTTGTATGCTGGATCTTGAAAAATGACTGGCTTAATAGAACCTGATTTCTCTGCAATCTTTCTCAAGGCAAACAAATGTCTATCAAATCCTTGGCCTGTAAAATAAGAAATATTGTGGAATAATCTATATACATTCTCTTTATTTTTTAAATTTATTTGTTCGAAATTTGCGATAATTGAACTATTTACCCATTACAGCCTCTTTTGTAAGCACATTGTGAGCTTTACTACAATCAACTATCATTCTTTTTAGATCTGATTTAGAGAACTTAGTTTGTTTTCGAGTCATAGCGATGCATATTTCTTTAGTTTCCAATGTACAAGGTCTGATGGTTTCTGTTCTGCCATGTTTATATGCAGCTGTGCTGCAAGATTCATAAGTTGGAACCACTCTATCTTCTAGAGTGTATAATGCCAATTGAAATGCCAGCTGCATTACAGCATCTGGACTTACCCTGAACTTCTTACATTGATTTTTGCCAAACTCTTCATATATTACATAATCAATGCACAATCGATTGATCCAATCTTGATATTTCGCTTTTTGTTGATTAATAATATTTTCGCTTTTTGCATCTATAGAAAATTGTAATCTCTCAATGTTTACACTTTCTTGCGCAAGTTCATCTACTTCATTAGGATGAAATCTAGGTTTCTTAGATATATCGGTCTTCACATCCTAAAGAATGAGGAAGATTTTTAAGATCTTGCAATCTTCACAAAAACTTACTATGATTACATTAATATGTGTCCAAAACTAGGATAATATCTATCTAATACACATACCTGGAAATACCTGAGTACTGCAACACCATCACCCCACGAATGTTCAAAATTGATTCCACTGTAGCCGTCCTTAGAAACAATGAGAGAAAATGACTTGTCGAACCATCGATTGGTACCATCTGCATGTAAATATGTTCTAAGTAATTTGTTCTTTTCAGTATCAATAACTTCGTCATCCAAGATCATTACAAATATAGCTGAATCAATTTTCTTAAGAATTTCCCTATTCCCTGTTTCGACTAAATGTGAACGTGCTTGTGCCCATTGATCCCTTTCTGATGTCGTAAGAACGCCCACTGGATGTTTATTTGGTGGTCTATCATCTTCCAATATGGCTTTTAAGCATGCAGCTATCTCTCTAGGACTACGAATAGAATCGTTTGCATCTAGAACATCAAACGCGTAAAAATGACCTTTTCTTAGTATAACTAAGTGTTTTGCTGAAGAATCGTGGAAGATTACATCCTTCTCCAATTCCGGTATTCTACTCGTATTGAATAGATTTTTATATTGAGACATATCCAAAGGAAAAGCCTATAATGAAAATTGTTTTTGTTAAACATACTTTATTTCTACACTTAATACTATTTCTTTTCCAATCTATAATTATTGTATTTAATCTCTTTCTATAATGTTTCACAAACAAAATTTGTTATTACCTTAAATAAATAAGCACCATACGAGCTAAAGCGGGATGGAATCAATCTTGTGACATTGCGAAACAATTCAGTATCCGATTTTTCAGATTTCATATGAAATACTTCTGGCTCTAAAATGTTATTTTTGAGAGATTTAAAAAATCTCAATGATGACACAATGAGATTTGTCGCCTTTACCAATTGTGCATCATATTTTGGATCGGATTCTGGTATAAAAACTAAGAAAGGATTGTAATTGATGGGTAAAGGCTTGCGATCTCGTAAATACATATCAAACCACAATTCGCTAATGTAATTAGTATGCGGATTTTCATCATTATTATGAATCAGCTGTTTTTGCAAACTTTGCCCCTCATCGACAAGAAATTTCGAGACACAGGATGATGTGTATTGCAATTCCTCATCATTCAACAGAGGTTTCTGTGCATTCAAATATCTCCTACATGTATCTTCAAGCTTTGGTATTGGTAATCGTGGTAAAGATGCTTGAAAATGCAGTGTTGGAACTTTACTAATTTGCAGATATTGATATTCAGGGGTATCATATAATGGTACAGTACTCCTGAAATAAATGCGTATATATTAATATTTGCTTTTATTAAATAATTGTATATTCTCAAAATTAAATATTTTACAAAATCATGAAATTATGGTCATTTAATTTCTATGACACTAGTGGTATAATAACTAACTTTCGTATAGTTATGACTAATAATAAATGTAAGTTTCCAAAGTAGAAAAATAACAAACAAAATGAAAAACGTATTGTCTCTCTCTATTGCTAGGAATATAAAAACAAAACACTAATACCTAGCTAATTGTTGTGTTAGCGCGACTCCTCCACGGCTTATCTGTAATATACATAAGAGAGAAAGAGGAAATAAAAGCAAATATAAAAATATGTCAGATTTTAAAAATTAAATATCGAAAATATATACACTATATAACACACACCATATGTTAAATAAGTACTTTACCAGAATTTTTCGGAATTTGTTTCTAGTTGAGACAAACATTTTATGATTCAATATGCGAGTTAGTTTTGAAGGCAGGTAAATATAAAATGTATAAAATTATGAGATTTACATAGAGGACGGCAATGTGACAAAGTACTAGTATGACAAGCACTGTGTAGATATGACAAATCTCATTGCTATATTATATATATGTATATGGTACACCAATGTATAAGATGGAGTACACCTAGACAAGACTTTCGTTTGCGTGTATGATGCGTCATTGACTAGATGATCGACCTCGACAAATTTGATTCGTCATGATCAGATGCTACGAATTTTTAAGGTTCGCATAAATTATCCAATTTTTTTGCTATTATTTACATGTATATGTTGTGTGTATATATATA